TGTGTATGAAACATTCGACACCGTCCGCAAATTTGTATGAAACATCCACCACCATTCGCAAAATGTGTATGAAACATTTGCGACCATTCGTTTCCATTTGCAAAATATATAGGAAAAACTCGCTCGCATATGGAACATTCGTATGAGTCGGAACCCCCTAGGAAGACCACCGAATGCAAAAAATGTCAACTGAAAGGTATCAGCATTGAATCCAAATATTATAACGATTATTTAGCGTAGCTAGGCTTGAAATTTATTGTGCGTTGCCTTGTTGTACGTTACATAGTGACATTAAGAGTGAAGGAGCCCGTAGGTGAGTAAAGTATTTAATAAAAAAAAGATATTTCATATACAATTCAATTGATACTAATGAATGTCGTTCCACTTTTCCATGTATTCACACCAGAATGTAATGCTATGGCCACCGTAAAATTGACTGAAACTACACATGAATCCGGCCTAAAATTTGACCGTGAATTTGTATTACATTAGTCTTTTCATTAGAAATGTATCATGTTATGTATGTGGAAAAAGTCGATGTCACAAAAAAATAATAACTATTTCTTGATATTGGTTTATTTCTTTCGTTATTTAATTAGACTATTTCTTGATGTTGGTGCTGATATCAATATTAAAAGAAAAAGAATGTAATAAATAAATAAATATAAATAAATAGGGATTGATTCTATGAACCAAAAGTAGCAATTTTCACCTACATCGGTTTGTAATAATGTTGTAATTGGTCTTTAATTTCTATCGCTTCGACGGAATTTCAAATGAAGATCAACCCTAAATTTTTTCATTGTTCACTCAAAGTTCAACCAATACTCATCATTGAGATCATAATTTCGGAACATAACAGGGTTTTCTTGATTTAAATGTAAATTTTTAGAATATTCCTGAGTCCCTGAGCTCATATCATTCGAGTTTTTCAAAATCATATTGTTGCTGATATTGAATGTATGAAAATTCTCTTTACCTAAACTGATAACATTTTGAGGCCGATGAGAAAATGAGAGCCGATCAATAGACATCAAGTTTGTTCGATCATTCCCAAATAATCGCGCTCTATTCAATTTGTTGTTCATTAGTGTTGTTGGGTCATTTACAAATGAATTGTTGTTAATTCTATTATTGATACTTTTCGATAACTGAAATCGGTTGCTGCCATCATTTTCATCAGCATATGGATTAAACTGTAATAATGGTTGATTGACTTTAGCACCATTTTCATCTGTTGGTAAAGTGATAGTGGATAGTGATCTTTGGATTTTGCGATTATATACTTTCTCTGAACTAATTAAACTACTCTGAACGGAATTGAGTTGTGAGATCGAATTAAAATTATGTATTGGCTTAAGTTGAGTGCATCTGTTTTCTTGTTTTTGTAAACTGAGGTCATTCTGATGATAATGTTGATTTGACTGTTGTCGTTGTTGGTGTTGCATATTACCATTATTTTGATGCATCATAATCTTATTTTCGTTTCTTTTTATTGTATTATGTACCTGAGATGGTGATGCATTCGGGCTATTATTCGTTATCGTCATATCCGTATCAAGAAGCATGCCTGAATCACCCAATGTATCCTTAACAATGCTGGGCGGTGAAAATGCTACACCCGAGTTCGAGTTCAGTGCTTTACTCTGTTGGATAAATATTAATATAAATATATACGTTTATGGGCCACACCAAATTTGAACGCTCTAGAATAAAAATAACGTACTGAATGGTTGTTATATCAAAGTGATACAACAACAATTCTATATTAAAAAAACGCCGTGTTCCGCTTTGATATAACAACTATCTGTACGTTGTTCTTATTCTGGAGCGTTCATTTATAAATCCCAAAAAATAATTAAACCTTACCGGAGTCTCGACAAATGGAAAGTCTTCTGATTCATCGGTAGTTGTTGTATTCCATGTGGACTCCAGTGATTTCTTAGCTTTCTTTTGTTGCTGACTTGAATCTGTTTCATCATAAGTGAGACGTTTTGGGTTTGACATGCTAGCTATTGGTTCATCTTCCATATGCACAGGCTGCACTACTACACTAGAGTCAGTTTCGTAAACAGAGTCCATCGTTGAGTCTTGTTGCCTTTCTTTGTTCATTATTTCAGTTATATCTTCTACCAAACCATTTGGGCTTGATGGAACATACGGATGTATTTTACGATACTCATTAAGTGCATTTTTGAATGGTGTAGGGGTTCGTGGTCCATTTAATACCGACTTCGCATTCGGAGTGTTCATTGTAGGCTTTGCATCTTCATCATTCATGTTCTCCGTTTTGATGACAATTTCTTGAACTTCATGTGGAAATAATTCTTTTGACATCTTTCTCAACGTTTGCTTTGGTGTAACTAGCACGTCTTCCTCGTTATTCTGTCAATGTAGAAAAAAATCGAAACATATTTATTGAAAAAAAAAAAATTGAAATTGTAAACAATTTTTTTCACGATAATGAGATTCGTGTGATTTGCAAAAACCAAATATCTCTATTTATATGTACATTTAAAACTGCTTTTTTTTCAAATTGGGACCAATATAAGTACCTTTTGATTATTATATTTGCGAACTGGTGTACTCGCTGGAATTTTACTATCAAAGTTTAGATTAATTGATGGCGAGTTCAGGAACTGACTTGGTGAAAATGGCAACGGCTTTATTGGAGTTACGCCAGGAGATTCTAATGGTTTTATGCCAGGTATAAATGAGCAATTTCCTATTGCAGATGAACTTGATGAATGCATTCTCTGAAATTATTCATTCATAGTTTTATATACTCTATGTTATTTTTAAATACTATTGAAAAATTGAAAAATATTCAGTGCCAAAATATTTACTTGGTATAAAAATGACAAAAAACTAGGGGAAATGATCTATTCGCGAATGGACAAAATTTATTAGTTGTATGATAAAGTCGTCATTTTAGTAAAATAATTCAAAAAATTCGCATACAATTCGCAAGCTATTCGCAAAAAAGTTATCACAATCAAACTATATAATATACGCTTGCAAACGAACCAAGTGAATAGCGGCGACGCAAGAAAACGAAGTGAGTGAATAGCGGCAACGGATAACATTTTTTCTTTCGTTCGTTGTCGCTATTCACTCATTTCGTTTTCGTGCGTCGCCGCTATTCACTTGGCTCGTTAACAAGCGTTCACAATTTGATACATACAAAACATACAAATTTTGCGAATTGTCTCACGTTCATAGCGTTTTGTTTGCGAATTGTTTTTTAAATCACAACTTTACTGGCCCATCGCTTACAAATCATTTCGCATAAAATTCGCAAAATATCGAATAATTCGCTATTTTCTGATCGCGATCCGATCCCCTAGACAAAAAAAAAACTATCCGAGTATACAAAAATGCACTATTTCGAAAAGAAAATAAGTAGATATGTTTTTCTCAAAAGATTCACTTAATTGGTCAAATTGATATAAGGTGCAGTTTTGAATCGAGTACACACCATTCATGGCAAACAAAATGTACTTTTGTTCCTCGAAACAAATAAAACTGTGATGTAACATAAGATGCAAGAGGCATAAGAGATATAAGCGGTACATCAATTAAAGAATTAGCAAGAAATATTTTGTTCATGCGTCTGCACATATAATTTACTATAGTTTTGCGTTTTGCGATATCGTAATAAATTTTTATTAGGATGATAATTATTATGTTTTATATCGTTATTAGGATCGGATCCTTATAACGTTATTATGATTTTATTAACTTATCATGATAAAATCATAATAATTTTATTAGGATTACATCCTAATACTTATTATGTTTTATCATAATATTT